GAAGGGTTCCTGGCCTGGGGGAAGGGAAGCTGTTTGAGCTCATTTTGGACCTGGAACATTCAATTTTCTAGCTCTCAAGTTTCAAACAGAGTTTGAGCCCTGGGGGGATGGGAGTTATTTATTTTTGGCAGAAAAGATTTCCTCCTTCTAAGAAGAAAGAGAAAGAAATGAGGTTGTAACATGCATGTGAAAAGCCTTCTTAAGTATCAAATAACTAACACCAGAGTCATGTTTTCCTTTAAACCCCCAACAGCAATTGTCTGACTCTCTGCCCTCTTATTCCAACCATGTATGTCTATCTGCCCCTACCTGTCAGTTCAGACATACTTGCATGGTGAGACTAGTTCTAGAAGTTGTCTCTGCCCCGAAATGCAGCTGGATCAACACCAAGCTCCATTCTTGCTTGGCCATTTTGCCTATATCTGACTTTCTGCTGTCCAGGCAAATGGTCTGAACTACCCATTATGTTTTGCCTTCAGCTTCTGCCTTGTTCTCTGATTCTTTTGTTACTTGTCTGATGACATGATTTCTCAATTATCACTGTTGGATCTTCCTGTATTCTGGACCCCTTTCCTTAACACCCTGCTATCTTTTTATACTTCGCAAACTATAGAGTATGATTCAGTTTCTTCATCTGTACAATTCAGTTAATAGCAACTACTCTGATAACCTCGAGTGGTTGAAAGGCAAATGAGATTATGTATTTTAAAGCTTTTTAAAAATTTTACAATGCTATGTGCAAAAGTAGGGTGTTGCAACTATTCCTTGGATAGAGTATTCCCCTTCCCCCCTTCATTTTAGGTCTTAGCCATTTTGATTGATGTCAAGATTAACTAAAATAATCGCAGTTGAGACCAGTTAGTCAAATGCTTAACTGTTGAATTCCCCAATGGATATTTGACATTAACCAGTGAATACAGCCTTTATCAACATTAGCTACAGTTTAGACTTTGTCTAACATGTACATGAGAATTTATTTGTATGTGTGAGAGAATTCATGGCATACTGGACAGAGTGCTCCTGAACTTGAGGTCAGGAATACCTGGGTTAAAATCCTGCCTCTGACATTTAGGAGCTTTTTGGCCATGGGCAATTTAATTAACTTCCCTAAGCCTTAGGTTCTAAGTTATAAATGGGCTGTGATCTTCATTGTGAAATGATTCCTCATACTGATGAAATTATTGTTCAGATATGTACATACCTTTACATATAGGTTCTAGTCTCATATTAGCTGCATGACTTTGCACAACTCTGCTTTATCATTTATTTTGGTCTAGGCAACAGGGTTAAGTGATTTGCCTAGGGTCACACAGCTAGTGAGTATTTTGTGTCTGAGGTTGGATTTGAACTCAGGTCCTCCTGACTCCAGGGCCGGTGGTCTATTCACTGCGCCACCTGGCTGCCCCTACTCTGAGTTATTTAAATCCAATTCACATGCAAGTCAAGACTTCACCCATGATGTCATTGGTCCTCTTCAAAAACGAAGGATAAACAACATGACTTTGGGCAAGTCATTTGGCCTCATTCATCCTCTATTTATAAATGGGACATTTTAAAATTTTTTTATAAAATGTATATATATATATATGTATATATATATATACGTATATATATGTATGTGTGTATATATATGTATATATATGTATGTGTGTATACACACACACACACACACACATATATATATATATATATATATGTAATGGGGCATTAATATAGTTACCTCTTAGCAATCCCTTCCTGCCCCAGCTTCCATGATTTGTCTAGAATGCTGGTCCCCACCCTCCAAGCTTATGGAAGCATGAGGTTGGGACCTAAGGCATGGCAGTGCATGAACTTTGCTTGCATGTGTATCCCCAGTACTTTGCCCTAATAAGTATTCAATAAATGCTCCTTCTCTCTGTCTCTCTCTCTCTCTGTGTCTCTGTCTCTGTCCCTTTCTGTTTCTCTCTGCCCCCCTCTCTCTCTCCTCCCATCTATCAGTAATGCTACTTACTTTTATATCTCTCTACCTATCATCTATCTGTTCTCTCTCTAGGGCCTTTCATTAATATTGGAACAACCTGTCTTGTAGGGGTTTTACAAGGACCAAATGAAAATATACGCAAAAGTAATTTGTGCCAATAAAGAGTTCTATAAGCTTTGGGTAACCCCAATATTCTTTTTGTTCATGATTCATTTTGTAAACTCCCATTTATTCATAGTCATATGCTTGGTCATTCATGCAGAAGAGTTTATGTTGTCATGACTCTCTAGGGCATTATAGTTTAAGCAAATGTTTGTCTTCTGAGTTGACCAATATAACCTTGGCTCTTTTTCTTGGGGGCCAGGGAACCAGAGGTTAATAGTCTGCAGGTGCCTGAAAAAGCATGTGACTTTCCCTGGAGTTGGTAGTTCTATGAAGGTGGTGCTTCCTCATCTAGGAGGAACCATAAGATATTCACTGGGGCAAGTAAATGGTGAAGTGGATAGAACTCTCATCCTGGAGTCAGGAGGATCTGAGTTCAAATTTGGCCTCAGATCCATACTGGTTATGTGACCCTGGGCAAGTCACTTAACCCTGTTTGCCTCAGTTCCTCATCAGAAATATGAGCTGAAGAAAGAAATGGTAAACCACTCCAGAATATTTGCCAAGAAAATTCTGAAAGGACTCATGGGGAGTCAGACATGACTGAAATGACTCAAACAAAAGACGTTCACTAGGAAGTGAGGAATATGTTGTATTGCCTCTGCAAAAAAAGAGAAAATACGGCATCCTGGGTAAATCCACCAGGACTCAGGTAGGAAGAGATTCTTTGCTCCTTCAGTTCCAGGAGGGATCTTCCTAGCTCCCAATTCTCCCCAGAGTCTAAGTCATTCCCTGGAAACAGATGGGCGTGTAAACTGCAGTACAGGGCCCCCTGGTGGTGGTTTGGGGAAAATGCCCATGCATTGGCTTCTCCATTTTGCAAGGCAGAACTATCTGGGTAGTTCTCTAGGTTTGGTTCCCAACTAGAACCTGTACTCCACAAAGAAGGGAGTTGAAGCAGGTTGCTATAATTTCAGGATAAACCGAAACCACCTCACTTCCCTCTAACAGGCTAGCTGAAAAGGATGGTGATTATGTATCATCCATCCTGCTTCCTCGATTCTCCTGTAAAAATGATAACACGATTAGCGAACCCTCCCACTTCATGCCTTAGCTAGAAGGGGCTGGTGATCACTGACAGTTTACAACACTGTTTTATCTATCCAGGTCCTTAAAAGAATAGGGGTGGTACACAGGTCATAGAGCATCCTCATATCCCCAACAACTCCCCAAAGTAACGTAAGCCCTTGGAGGCAATGGTGGCCCTCCAATGCTCTCTCCCCTCTGCCTGAACATGGTGCCATGCAGAGAAAGCCAAGTCTTTAAGACTGTCTCACTGTCAGTGGGTTGTGTCCAGAGTTGTTATTTCAGTGACAGGGTAGCATTTGTATGTAGTTATATGTACTCTCTGGCTCAGTTTCCCCTATGAGCAACAATATACCTCCATAAAATAGCAAGCTGCAATTCAGGGTGCAGGGTATGACTAGGGGACTGGATGAAGATCGGTGATCCCTACAAAGACAGTCTTGATCTCATTAGCCATTGCACTGAAGCCCATCAGGTAAGTGAAGCATCTTATGCAAACCAAAGTGGAAAATTTCTGAAATCCAAGCCCCAAACCTCCTAAACTACAATTACAGAGAAACGCTTTCATCCAGAGTAAAAGTGATTCTGCTTTCTCATCTCAGTTCCCACCAAAGTGTAGGTTTCAGAACAGAATTCATTGCTGAAAGGAACATTTCTTCAGAGGAGTTAAGAATGTTCCCTACTCCACTTTGACACCAGTAAGCCATTTATTTTAAATGAGTCAATGGATTCAGCGTGATTAAGAGCCTCCAATAAAATGTCCACAATGAAAAAAAAATCCTTTAGGAAGCTTCTAGCAGCACTGAGTATTTATTATTTTAAATGAAAATTACATTTAAAAACTTTTATATAAAAATCATTGAAAGTGCTAGATTGGATCATTTCAATATTAATTTAACCCAACAACATTGCCTCCCAGCTCTGCTCATCCTTTGTTTACTTTTGACACAAATCATTACAAACATGTTTATATCTAGCCAGCAGTAAAAGTTAACAAGTTAAGAGTTTACTCTCCAAGAAAAAAGTACCACCAATGAGGTCACTGGAACAGAATAATAAAAAATAGATGCCAGAGAATTAGCTTATGGGGTAGGGAAGGGGAATCGAAGAATTTCAAGGAAATAAAATCAAAAGTGATCTACACCTTTGAAGTCTTCACTGTGTTTAAATGCTACAATGGTACATTAGTGTTTTTTTTTTGTAGGCAATCTTCAGATACAGCAAATCTGTCCAATCATTTTGTTGTTTTGTTTGATGCCTTCCAATGTCAGCCAGGACAGCTAAGTGGAGCAATAGACAGAGTGCCAGGTCTGGTGTAAGGAAGACCCGAGTTCAAATCTGGCCTCAGACACTTATTAGCTGCATGACCCTGGGCAAGTCACTTAACCCTGTTTGACTCAGTTTCCTCATGTGTAAAATGAGCCGGAAAAGGAAATGACAAACCATTCCAGTATTGTTGCCAAGAAAACCCCAAATGGGGTTCACCAAGAGTTGGACACAACTGAAAACAACAACAACAACAAAAATATTAGCCAAACATTGACTAATAGTCTTCATCTCGCACATAACTCCCTACAAGTGTAATGTGGAGAAAAAGCTGACTTATCAGTCTTACAGTCTTTTCCATCAAGTATGTCATCCAAGAAGACACAGGTCATTGAGAGCCCCTTCCACTCTCAATCTTCTCCCTAACTGCTAGCAAACTCTTCCCAAGTTTGCCAATTGTATTTTCTAAATTGGCATTTAGAAAATTCCAGTTGCATGAAATATAGATGAGTATGTATATACTGGTCATAAGTGTCTGACAAAGTCTGGCCAGGTTTTTAGGCCTCAGATTTCTGTTTGATCATTTTTTTTTAAGCAAACAGGCTCCTCTGATTTACCACCAGAACTGTCTGACTCTCTCGTCTTTTCGATTTCTTGCTCCTCTGCCTTACCTTCCAGCACAAGGCGCTGGAAGCTAACAAAAGAAGTCCAGAGGACAGTAGGATAAGCCCCAGAATGGAGATGATGGATCCATGCGAATTGAAACTGTAGGCTACGGCTGTAACGACCACTCCCGCGATCAGAACGACCACCGCAAAGGGGATGATGCAGCGGTAACAGGAGAGCTCGGCTCCTCCTGTGGCGGCGGTCAGCTGAACCTCACTGACCAGCGGAATCGCTGTGACCACACACTCGTTGTTATTGCTTTTCTCCATTCTTACCGGCTCTGGACCTTTTGGCACTCCCAAAATCTCTTTAAAGTGCTCTTCAGGCATATTGTACTGCAGGAATTTCTTGGTGAAGTTTTAGACTAATTCTGGATGTGTTCATCAAGGTATAGGCTGAATAGAAAAGACAGAGACACTCAGCTGGAGAATTTCCATTCTAGGCAATACCAGGAAAATGCAATTTGTAATTATAAAGACAATAATGAAATTTATGTAGTGCTTATGCTGTGCCAAGTATGAGCTTTGCAATTATTATCTCATTTAATCCTCACAACAACTCTGGGAGGTTACCCTCATTTTACAGATCAGGAAACTGAGGCAAACAGATTTAATGACTTGCCCCGAGGTCACTTACCATGAAAGTCCCCCCACTGCCTTTTCTTTGCCAGCACATTCCAAGCTTTAGCTTTTGCTCTCTGACATGGTATCAGAAAAGGTTTGAAGACCCTTGAGTCAGTGCTGCTATAGTAAGCAGGATTTGAACTCGGGTCTTCCTGACTCCAGGCCCACTTAACTATTCACAGTGGCCCCTTAGAGGCAAAGGACTAGAGAAAGCCTGTCTTCTCACCCTAATGCCTCCCGGTCCCCACCCCCTCAAGTTAGTTGTATTGATGCCTTTTGTTTGTAAGCAACAGTCATTTCTGGTTGACCCCTCTAACTCCCTTCTCCCATCTTTACCTTGAATTGAAAGTTTTCAAGTATGTTTTCACATTTTCAAGTAATGAAGAAAAACAGCTAAGCAAAAATGACAGTGAGGGCATCTGAAGGTGTTCCATTATGTTTTCTGGCATCAGAAGCTTTTCCTGATCTTTCCATTTATACTATTGCATTCAATTATATATTTTATTCTCCTCGTTCTCCTTAATCATCTCTGCTTGATAGATTTATCAAATTGCTTAAAGACATAGAAAAATGAACATCTTGTTTTTCACCATCAGCTGATAGATGAGGCCAACAGAATTGAAGAAAGAGGGGTTGTAAAAACCAGGAAGCATTTTACAGTGTTTAATAGACCCAGGAGGTCTACAAACGTTTTACTAGCTCTTCCGTTATGCCTATTGCTGCTTTTCCCCTTGAAACAGAACAGAAAGGACTGAATCCAGATTTAAAATGTCATCAGTACAAGGGGAGGGAGCATTTTAAACAGATGCCTCTGACAGTAACTTCTAAGCCAATGTTGTAGCTAAGTTACATGCATTCTTTCCAAAAGATGATCCATTGACAAAAGTGATTGTCAATGGGGGCAGAGCCAATAAAACAGAAGAAAACTTAGACTGTGATTCCCGTAGTAGCTGTCATCTAGTTAACAGAGGAAAAGCATGTGTGTTTCTGGAGTTACTGCTTCACTCTTCCATATAAAGGTACCTTCCAGACATCTCTTGTGGTGGGAGGTGTTACAGGGTCTTAATTATAATGAGTATGTATTTACAATCCAAACTGACCTGCATGCAGGCTTTCAATCCTTAAACAAAGAAATAAAAAGTACCACGTGCTGGGGAGGGTAGGAGGAGTAGGGAGGAAGAGTGGTATTGCAGAGTGCTCCATTTTCACTTTTTCTTAAAACTTAAAATAAAACTGATTTTCAGTTGTTTCTTATTCCCCCTAATTATTAGCGCTTGCTCCCTTCCCTCTTTAAATTATCTTGGATATGCTTATCTATTTACATGTTTGATCACCCCAGCAGAATGTCAACTTAAGAATTACCTCCTACATAGGCCTTTATTAACATACTTCCCTTCTTACCCCACTTCAATTATTTTGTATACATTTAGTACAAATGTATGTGTGTATATATATTATTTCCCTCAATAGACTATAAGTTCCTTGAAGGCAAGGGCTGTTTCATTTTCATCTTTGAAACCCCAATGCCTATTATAGACACACAATAGGAGCTTAATTCGTATTGAAGTGAATTGAGGGCAGGGACAGTTCTCTGCCCCCATTTTGTCTTTATGTTCCCAGTAATGAGCTCAGTGTCATGCGCATAACAGGTACTTAATAAATGCTCCTTGGGTTGTGTTGATTGAATATACAGCACTGAGATGGCAAATCACAATTTCTATCAAAGTAAGAAAGCATTCTTTCAGGCTACCTGTAAAACACACACACACGCCCACACACACACACACACACACACACACACACACACACACACACACACGGTACACATGAATACATGCACATATATTCACAGAGCTAATTTTCAGTAAGATTTGACAGTTACACTCCAGTTCTCCTGACTTAACCTAATTGAAATGTTCCTCTTTCGAAAATCAGGTCAAACCTGAAAATGTACAGAAAGTCTCCTTAGACACAAAAGAGCAGTTTGATGAAATTCTTGCCTGTTACTCAGGCTTGTTAGTCACTTCCTCCCAGTTTGGAGAAACAGACAGCCAGAAGGACTTAAGGCATGCATTTCAGCCCCTTACAGAACCTTACTAATACACTTCGGGCCATCTGACAGAAACACTTCACATTGAATGATACCCTGGATATTTTCAGTATCCACTAAGAATAAAGTCAAAACAAAGCAGTCTTCACAATCTTTGCCCAGGTCCTAGCAGCCAGACATCCTCTGGGAAGGAAGTCTCTCCAACATTTTGTTACAACTATCTGATGAAGTATCTGTACCTGTTTCAGCATGACAATGAACATTTCTCAAACCCTGCTGTTACGCAGTAGAGACTACTAATCATAATTGAGGCTACCTGGGACTCTGAAGTGGGATGTGTGTGAAGAGGGTGGGGAGGAGGAGGAATGGTAAATACCACTAAAAAATTGTGGGATGGAGCAAAAATTATAGATAAAATCCATGCTCGAGTTATGTATACCTACCTCAGAAAAAGGAAATCCATTGACATCAAACTCAGCGTGATCTCTTAGTGAAGAAAGAATGTCTTATCTCTCTGAATCCCTTCTGTCAACTTGAGAGAAAGAAGGCTGCAGCAGCTCTCCTAATCCAACTGGTAATGTGTCTTGGCCAGGGCGGGGGGCTCTTTGAAAAGATAAATGAGAAAAGAAATTGTTGGGAAGAAAGCAAAACAAACAAACAAACGAAAAAATACAAAACAACCCACTCAGCTTCAGGACTCTGGAACTCTTTCCTCTTGCCCTCTGCCTCTAACACCCTGTGTCTCCAACATCAAAAAGAGCAAAAGCTCTTCTCTCCCTTCCTCCCTCTCTTTTTATCCCCTCCCTCTCCCCTCCTCCTCTTCCCTCCCCGTCATTTTTTTCCTTTTCCTTGCCAGCAGATTCCAAGTTTTAGCCCTTCCCATCTCTGACATGGTAAGTGTCAGAATCATTTGCTTAGGTCCCTAGAGAAAGGACATAGCTTTTACTTTGATTTCTCTCATCGAGTTGACTACATGTGGATCCTGACTTTCATTACTCATGTTTTCCCCCTTAGGCTTCCAGCTTAGGGCCCCCACTGCCGCCTCCTCCTTTGCCCCAAGAGTTTTCAGGAGAACTGAAAGGTTTAAATACCCTGGAGTCGGTGCTGCTATAGACCTGGCTGAGGGCAGCTCTGGGGGAAGCTCCCAGAGGCCAGCCAAAGGATGGAAATTATTATCGACAGCAGGAACAGCTGGGAAGCCACCAGGCAGCTGGGTTAACCTTACGAACCAGAAAAAAAAGATTTATGTTCCTAAGCTTTTCCAGCCTTCCTCTTCTGAATGGGTGTGAATAGGCCAGGAGCACAGGAGTTTTGTAGAAAGCTGAATCCAGAGCAAGTTAATCTTAGGAATGGGGGAGGGGAGGAAGATGGGGGCAATGGATTTCCAGTGTCACAAAATTTTGACTCTAAGTTGTTACCAACTAAACATGGTTACTTACAGCCTGAATCAATGATTAGGCAAATGATGGGCACACTGACATGGCAGATAAGAAATTTCATGGCTCTCAAATGGGAACGCTGATGGCTTTTTGTTCATCTTTTCCAAACTCCTCTGCATGTGTAAGCTTCCACGTGCAAGATAAGGCTGTCATTTAGGATTCTCATCTTTAAGAATCTTGAAAAATTACAAGTTCTAGATTATTACAATGAGTTTTTTTAAATGGCAAGTATACCGGGAAATTTATTGTACAAACTTTTCTTAATCTGTTTCTAGTTTTAAAATCCTATGACAGTTCTTGTTTTAGTGAAATCCATGACACAGCAGGTAGACCATCTCAGTTCAACAAATCCACATGCTGTAATGAAATTGCAAAATAGATTTTTCCGTTCTTCACTTGCATTAGTAAGCATGGCATGGAGGGGGGGGGACAAGGGCAGGGTAAAGGTGGCAATTCAAGTCACTTAGACATTTAAGTTACTTTCTGGAAAAGGACATTGTTGCTCCCTGTTTAACAATTACATTTTCTCATTTGCCCAAAAAGAAGCACAAATGAATGTGTGGGAGGGTGGAAGGAGAGGGGAAATGGAAGGATTACTCCTTTATTTTTACAATGAGGTTGAAAAATCAGGACATGTGAATTCTATAAGAGGACAATAAATATGAAAGAGTTCAGCACCCTGAACTGCCTGATGAAGAGGTCCGCTACATGCCTGGGATTAGTGGAAATAATTGGAGTGCTGCCTCTGCCCTCACCCCTTTTCTGCCTTTTGTAGAGTAAGTGGCAAACTCGAGAGGAGTTATCACCAGGTGATCAATGACCAATGTAGGCTCTTGGTGTTTGACATTCTTCTAACTCTTCCAGAGATCTTAGGATCACAGACATAGGGCTGGAAGGGATCTTAGAAGGGCTCTAGCCCAACTCCTTCATTTTCCTGATGAACCTGAGACACTTGCCCAGTGTAATACAGCTAGTAAATATCTGTGGTGGGATTTGAACTCAGGTTCTCCTACTTCTAAATTCAGCATTCCATCCACTCCTGCCTCATATATATGATATATACACATACACACATATACACACATATCTATACCTATATATATGTGCATGCATCTGTATACATGTGTGTATATATGTACATGTGGATATATACATTATATGCGCACGTGTGTGTATATATGTGTGTATATATGTATGTATATACATATATATATACAGTATATATTTGTATGTGTGTGTGTATATATATATATACATATATATATGTATATATATATACACACACACACACACACACACACACACACACACACACACATATATATTCACTAAATCTCAAAAGCATCATCCCTTCTTTTGGGAAGTGATAAGTAGAGTAGGGAAAACCATTCATAGAGATAGATGTGAGTGTCCTGGCAACAGAAGGCAGGACCTTATTTGAGGTGTTCTCTCTCTGCTTTATCAGCTTGCCTGATGACACCTTTGCACACAACAGTCCTCCCATCCCTTACCCCACACCAAACCCTCTGCTTCCATACGGATTGGACACCAGGCTGCTATTACTCTGGCTTCCCAGTAGCTACCATGTATGAAATGAGAGGTAGAAAAGTAATCAACCTGCCAAGAAGGGCAGAGTGAATGTGTGTGTGTGTGTGTGTGTGTGTGTGTCAGGGTGGTGGTGAGTATGTGGGTGGCCGGTGGTGGAGAAGTCTAAAGAAGGGAGGGCTACCTGTGATCTTTCTTTTACAAAGGCTCACTTCATTCTTTTGATTTCTCTTTCACTCTCTGACAATCTTTTCCCTCACTAACCATCTTACTCCCTTCCCCCAAGTGTGCTGAGAGCTCAAGCTCAGTAAGAAATTTGAGGGTGGGAGAGCTGCTGTAAAAGTCCTTCTTGGAGACAAAATGCAGATTGCTCCAACCTTCAGGCTTGGAAGAGAGCAGGCAGAGATAGCCAAAAAAAAAAAAGCCCCAAGAGACACGACCTCTCAGAGATCCCCTTAAGGAAACTACCTCTCAACAAAGAAAACATACTCTCTTTTCAGCCTTTACAGATTCCAAAATCCAAAATTAAGAATTCCTGCTTAACAGTATCAGCTGTCTCTTAATGTTTCCCACTCCCAGCAAGCCCAGGATGGCAAAGCAAAAATTGAAAACGAATGAAATACAGACATGTATTGATTGGTAAAAGGACATGAGTGAGTAAAGATACTTCACCTCCAAAATTTGATTATGCTTTAAAAATAAAATCATACGTATGCTGTGCCCTCCTTTTTTTTGAAAATGAGACCATAATCTCTGGCAAAAAAAAAAGAGCTCTTTGAACAAACTTTTCAAGCACATGGCTCAAAAGAGAATTCTTTGGTTTTAGAAACTTTTCTGATTGTCCCTAGCTCTCTGCAGCCAGCCTCCATCAATGATCAGGTTAAATTGGTGGGTCCTTTAGTCATTTGCCCCACACACAGACACATACACACATGTGTGTGCATACACACACACACACACACACACACAAGCACACATTCCTTTTCTGTCTCAGAGATTCAGATCAGAGAACAGAGCAGAAAGAAAATCCTTACCTTGCTCTAGGCAGAATGGAACTGAGACAGACTCTTGGACAGCACAAACAGGAGCAGGAGATGCAAATCCCTGTACTAGGGACTGTAAACAAAGTACTCAGCAAGGTTTAAAAATAATTAAGGGACCAGAGAAAATGTGGTGAAAGGAAATACTCAACCATTGACTCGCAGCTGAATTTCATCCAGCCTCTCTGTCGATGTAGCCGAACTCTTCTGTACTTTTGCGCTGTGCTGTCTTTTGAATAATCCCTATCCTCCCGCTGGTTTTCATTTTCAAAGTTTTCTCTTCAGAATCTGAAACTGAGATTCTGTGAGTGATAGCCTAGAATTGAGGACTCAGTGCCTTCAAACCAAATGTCCATCTCTTTTTCTCAATAAACATTTATTGGTCAATAAATATTTATCAAGCACCTACTATGTGCCAGGCACTATGCTAAGCACTAGAGATGAAAAGAAAAACAGAAAGTCCCATACTAGGAGGGTTGAAGAGTTGAAGTAAGAAATACATGCATCATTGTAATTATGACATGACAAACTTGTAAATAATGGTAGGAATAAAAAAAATACCCAAAGAGGATTTCTTTTTTTAATTTAATTTTTAATTAATAGTGACATTATATATTGATTTTGAACATAGTATGGTAAAATACTGCAGAGAGCACACGTCCAATGGGCTGGCAACATTGTTTGAATGCCAAGCATACGTTTGCCTAAGAGATATTTCACAGAGAACTCACACAAGAAAGGTGCTCCCATGGTGGTCAGAAGTAATACGAGGACACTCTCAAGGTCTCTCTCTAAAGAACTTTCAAAACAATTGCATGACATGGGAGACCCTGGCAAAGAAGTGCCCAGCATGGTATGCCTGTATCAAAGAAGGTGCTCTATGAGCTAAAGCTAAGGATTTCAATGACAGCTTATACTTCAGTAGGGAGGCAGTGTGATGTGATGAAAAGAATATTGGCTCTGGATTCAGAGGAAATGGATGCAAAGCTCCCTTCTGATGTATATAACCTTAAGTGATTCACTTATATCCCTCCATCTTACTTGCTTTATGAGCAGCAACTGGGTGGTATAATGGATAAATAATGGGGTTTTGGAGTCAGGGAGACTTAAGTTTTTATCCTGCCTCAGATGTTTTTTAGCTGTGTGACCCTGGACAAATTGCTCTCTGTGTTCCAGTTTCCTCATCTGCAGGTAATAATAATACCTCCCTTCTGGGGGTCTTGTCAGGATCAAATGAGTTAATATATGTAAAGTGCTTTGTAAACTCTTGGGAGCAGGAATGTTTCATTTACATCTTAGCATCACTAGAGTCTGGTACATAGTAGGTGATTAATAAATACTTACTGATTGAAATATATTACCTTATTTGATCTTCACAACAACTCTTGAGAGAGGAAGGATGTGTAGCATTTAGCATTAGTTAAGTGGAAAAAGAGAAGATTCCGAATGAGAGACTTGGGTTTGAATCCCAGTTCTCTTATTCCCATCTGGGTGACTACAGGCAGATTGTATAACCTCTCTGGACCCTAGTTCTCCCATCTGTAAAATAACAGATAATATTTATATATTTCTTTAAAGTTTGAAAAGAGCTTTGCATGTCATCTCATGTTATCCTCCTAAAAACTCTGGGAGATAGGTGCTATTATTATCCCCTTTTTACAGATGGGAACCTGAGGCAGAGGTTACATGATTTGCCCAGGGTTATGCAGCTACTAATTATCTGAGGCAAGATGTAACTCAGGTCTTCCTGACTCTAGGTCCAATGTTCTATACACTGAGCTAAATGTACTTTAGCTGCCTAAAAGGGTCAGACTAGCTAGCTAGGTGATTGTTAAGGTCTCTTTCTATTCTAAATCTATACTCTCCAATTTACAGATGGGGAAACCAGGGTTCAGGGTGGTAAATGAAGTAATTTACTCAGAACTGTGCTGCTGGTAGATAGTAGTAGAGTCAGAACCAAGACTAGGTTAATTTACTCCAAGTTCAGGTTCTTTCCTGACTCCATTGCTGAAATGACTTGCTCAAGATACTATAATTTATAAGAACCAGAGCTAGTTCTAGAATTATCTCTCCTAATTCCCAGCCCAACACCGTTTTTACTATGCCAGAATGTCTTTATTTTGTGTGAGTGGTATTTAACACACTGCACACAAGTGGCATCTATGGACCATGTGTGATATGTTGTGATGCTTAGGACACTACAGCAGTGTAAATACCTCCAGTTGGCTTTTGTGCTGTCTTCCTTAAATCTACAAAAAAAAAGTGTCACTAAATAAATTATCTAGCCAAGGAATGCAGTATAGTTTGCCCCTCAAGCCACTAACCAAAGGGTTTCACCAGAATTTTACTGTGATATAGGTAAAATAGCTTTTCCCCCAAAGCTCCCCTTAACCATATTATTCAAAGGAAGAACATTTCCCTCACTTTAAACATGGATAGTCTGGAGCTATTAACTACATCAGAACTCCATTTCTTTCCCACCTGTATAATCTCATTTGTGTATATGTTGTTTTCTGTCCAATAGGAGGTAAACTTTTTGAGAATAAGGACCATACAGTTTTTATTTTTGTTTTCTTAAGGTCTGGAATTGTTCCCTGCACATAGTAGGCCCTTTGTAAATGCTTATTGAAAGCAAGCAAGCAAGAGGGAGGGAGCAAGAAGAGAAGGGAAGGAAGGAAGGAAGGAAGGAAGGAAGGAAGGAAGGAAAAAAGAAAGAGAGAAGGAAGGAAGAAGGAAAGGAAAAAAGGGAGGGAGGAAGGGATGGAGAGAGAAGGAAGGAGGGTAGAGGGAAGGGGAGAAAGGAGGAAGGAAGAAGGGAGAGAGGGAGTGAGGAAAAAAGGAAAGGAGAGAGAGAGAGAGGGAGGGTGAAAGGAAGAGTGAAAAAGAGGAAAGAAAGGAAGGAGGGAGGATTGAAGGAAGGAGGGAATATATAAATACATGGTTATAAATCTTGGAACATCACTATCTCAGAAAAACAAAATTGCAAGTAACTAAAAGGATACAAGAAAGATAAATGTGGGACATACACATGCTACAGAATATTACCAACAAAAACATGTGCACACGAACTTGCATATAAGATACTTTCAAAGGGTAAGTATGACCAAAGAAGATGGCAAACCACTTATGCAGAAAGACAAAGGACAAGAGATAGATAGGTCTCATTGGCACATTGCTATCCTGAGGTACTAAAAGAGGAAGGGAAAAGTTTCTGGTATGCTGGGTCTATCCATGAAGGAAGATTTAAAGGAAAACATAGTCAAGAATCACACGAAGTGCAAAGGCATGCATGGAGGAGTTGCTATCTGCTTCTGTGGTATCTTAGCATCTGCAATGATGGAATCATATACTTTTCACAATATTGAAGAAAAAGATGGATGAGGAACTAAGATCTGGAAAACTTTGACTGACTCTCCAAAGGCATTGTGAAGGCAGAAGAGTTACATACATTGGCCTAACAATGTCTTCTGTAGAGTACATGCTTACTGTATGATTGTTGATTTGAGTTTAATTGAATTGATTTGACACCTCTCTTCCTGACCCCCACCCCCACCCTGAGAATTCCAACAACTTGAAAATGTCTTTAAACCAAGAAACATTATACAGGGCCCTATATTAGTTATTTTTATTAATTTTTTCAATTACCAAGCATTTCTTTTCTTATTTCTACCATTTCTCCCTTCTCCTAGGAAAGCAAAAGCAAAAGCAAAGCCCTTTTAATACATGCATAGTTCTTCACAACAAACTCACACATTGGCCATGTCCAAAAAGATGTGTGCTTTGTTCTGCATATTCATTCCATCACTTCTCTGTCAGGAGGTAGGTATAAGCCGTGTCCTATTGGAACCAACATAATTTGAATAGAAGGCGGAAGGGATATCATTCTTTTATCACAGCATTGAAAAAAACATATGTAGCAAAGAATTGGAAATGGGGGGATGCATATCCATTGGGGAATGACTGAACAAGTTATGGTATAGGATTGTGATGGAATATTGTTGTGCTATAAAAAATGACAGATAGCATTGTTTCAGAAAAACCTGGGAAGACTTATGTGAACTGATTCAAAACAAAGTGAACAGAACCAGGAGAACATCGTACACAGTAGTAGTAATATTGTAAGGATGATCAACTGTAAAAGACTTAGCTACTGTGATTAAGACAATAATCCAAGACAATTCCTAAAGGCCCATGATGAAAAATACTATCCACCTCCAGAGAGACAACTGATAAATTCAGAATGTAGATTGAAGCAAACTTTTTTTACTCTCTTTATTTTTCTTGGGTTTTTTTTGTATGTGTATTTTGTTTTGCAATATGGCTGATATGGAAATATATTTTGTATGGCTTCACATATATAATCAATATCATATCGCTTGCCTTCTCAAGGGGTGGGGGAAGGGCAAGATGGAAGGGGAGAATTTGGCACTGAAATTTTTTTGGATGAATGTTATTTTTTTGCATGTAGTTGGAAAATACTTAATGAAATTAAGGAAAATCTATTGAAAAAACCCATGTGATGCTAAGACTTCTGTTTAACTTTGCAAGAGGCAGTGAGTTCTAGTCTAGGTTGGGAGATTGGAATATTTTGATTTTGTGGTTACGTTCACCACAGTTTGGGAGCTGCAATGTTGTCCCTCATGAATGCACATATTTTGCATTTTGTCCAACATCCCCATATGCATTGGATTACTTGTCCATATTTACTTTCAGCACACTTTCATGTAATGTGGTTGACTTGGCAACATTTCTGCAGTTCTGAAGAATCCCCCAGGGCATCCAACCATGGCACAGTTTCTAGTCCAGTCTTCATCCAGTTCAATCGGGTTCTATTGGATGCTGGAGGCTTGCCAGTTTTCCCTTTCCAGGTTTCTTTTAAAATATATCTGAATTTGTACTCTGAAGGTAGATTTATTTCAGAAGGTGGTTTGGAATACAATTGGGCCTTCACACATTCATTCTAGCTCACTGGCCAATTTATTATTATTTTTAAAGGATAGTTTCCTCTCATGTTTATGATTCTGAGGGCAGTGATCTCTTAGCACCAAGAACAGCAGGCGCACACTGAGAATTAATAGCAGTAGCTTGCATTT